AACAGTTTTTAGGTTCTTCTTTCAGTCCAGCTGTAGAAGGAATACACTAATTCGCGGTGAACTAAAGCGGCAGGAAATGATTCGTATAGATAACTTTTTCTTGACGATAAACCCGATTCTACCTATGTTCCTCTGCCCTTTTACTTTGCTCAGAAAACGCGTGTTGCCATCCCTCCAGGTCGCGTTGAGTTCTGATGTTCGTGTCTCTCAGATGCCGAAGACATCTTAAGTTAATTTCCTGTAGGAGATGGTTGATGTGTTCATCTCTCGACAGCGACCTACAATTGTAGGTGCATATCGAGAGGTCAGATGCATTTCTTTTTCATTTTGGTGGCCTTGTGCATCCTGAGATTCTTAGCAGTCTCTCGTCTTTCGGTTGACGCCAGAAGCCGGTCTCAAGGGCGCGCAGGGCTCTGGGGACCATATCCTTTTTTTCTTCTGTTCATGATTGTAAGACCTGTTAATTTACCACTCGCTGATCCAGGCTGTCAGTTGTACCGCCCATGCTTAGCCAGTCAGGGATGCAGTGCTGCGTCATCTCGGCTTGCTAGTCACTGCCAGAGCACATGCCTCGCCGTGTTTTGACGCTCTGGCCGTTGCCATTCCCACTGAGACGAGGTGCCTGGGTCGAGATTTTGTGGGAGTTAAATCAAATCAAGGTACATGATACTTTTTGTTTTTCTTCTATTCTTTGAGGCCATCTTCATCAGTCGCACGTCGTCCGCATTATGACGATTGAGGTAGCGAACTGTGCTGGTTGCGTTTTATTGCTTCGTACCCGATGGGTTTGCTTGAATAAGTTTATCCCGTTGTCGCCTCCGTCGAAAGTAGCCTACTCCGCGTATTATTCCGATACATTTTGACTAAGATGGATCTGAGTTTAAAGGCTAAACTCTCGGTGTTCAAGTCGATTTTTCTCATCATGATTAGCTACGGTCATACGCCGTAGGTTATGACGAAAAACTGTGATTCCGGGTACAAATGTCTCAAGTGGACTTTCTGAGACAAATCGCTCGGTTCACGAATTGCGGTGTAGTCTGGTCTCACGCCTGTAGTACAGATATTCTACAGACCGTTTATACCTCCGCTGCTTCTCCAGATCGAGAAGTCACAGCTGCTATGGTTTGCGGACGATTTTCGAATGTTTTGAAAGTTGAAGGCGAGCAGCTACACTTCCTCAACCGACCGGTCGAAGAACTGGAGAATGATCTGGATCAAGTGTCTCGACGTACCAGGCTTCAGACACGGACTTTATTCCACCGAAGCTCAGACCCTGGCGCATGATCTGAAACATTCCAGACCCTGTCTTGAGTTGCCGCTGTCTCCGCTACGTCAACGGATAAGAGGTCATCGAAATTAAACGATCGATTGACTGGCTCATTAATTGACTTACAATATATTTTTGTGCATCACGGCAAGCTATGTTATGACAGAATGTCTACTACGTCTTAATTAATTGCATTTTCAGAAGTGATAGATTTTGTCGCCCGAAATACCTATACCACGTTAGCCCCTTCCCTTGCGTTGCTACAGTCAGAAAATTCTGATCAGGTATGCACCATTTTGTGGCCATTTCATCTCGCCACATCCCAATAATTTTCGGTCTTCATTTGTTTTTTTTGTTAACGTATTTCTCTTTTATTCTCAGACCAGTCAGATTGAGGACGAACCTCTGACATTGGCGGCAGACGGTCAAGACTACAATTATTTTAATAACGTGGAGAAAGGTGAGCTAGATGATCAAATGAATGAAAATGGATCGATCGACGATGAAGACGAATGTGACGTACAAAAAAATGGAACAGTTCAGAAGTAAGTTAGAAAAAAAAGTGTGCAGTGTTTCACAAGAGTTTCATTTTATGACTGTTACCATTTCAGGAGGGCAATTACCAGATATAGGTGAAATCAAAGTTGCTGTTGCATTGAGAGATTTGTTATTTAGCTAAATTATTTAAATTAGAAGTCTATTAATCAAAACGACCTGCTAACCCACCTTCCCTTAGTTTTCTAACGACCTTGTCTCGTTGCCGCTGCAGGCAAAATTAGTTGAAGCCATTTACAGAGAACTCGACGTATGACACATTTCTGGCATTGCAATTATAGAAACGTACAAAGGATCGTCTTTTTGAAAGATGCTCAGTGGATATTAACTTTGAATTTAAATAACAGATGACTGATGTACTCCTTCATTCCTATTTCAGCACGTGCAGGAGGTCGATTCTGAAATGAACGGCCATCACTCTGAAGCCATGCATTTATAGAATGTATTCAAGATAAGAATGATTTAGTAATGCTATTTCACCTCACGTGAGAAGACCACCACGTTTCGCTGTAGAAATTTCAAATTATGATTCCATTCTTGACGATTTACCAAAAATAGACATTGAAATTAATTTTCTTGCATACTTGCCTTCAACTGTCCGTAACTATGGAAGTTCGTCTTTGCTGTGCAAAAGGAGGATCATAAATCATAACTTTATGATGTCGTTAATGAATGACACGTTCGCGCTAAGACGTAGGATGAAACAAGCTAACTGTATTTTGTGATTTGCCAGAATAGTTGGTTATTATGTTATAGCGATAGTGTGAAAGATTAACTTCTGGATTAGAAGTGGCTGTGTGTGTGTGTGTGACTTTGTGTGACTTCTTTGAAGGAATCAGCGGTGCAAACCTCATAGCCTCATAGCCTGAAATTTCATTTGGCGGGGCGAAGGGCAGATGGATGTTCTATCCGAAACACCTTGCAGGCATGGCGGTAGCCAGAACTATTTGCCAAAATCGAAAGAAACAGAAAGCACAAGCAAAAGTACTCCATCCTTTCAATCCCCTGCATGTGGTTCTAGTCGAACTTCGACAGTGATGGTTTTATATCCGTGAAGCGTCCAGATGGAAGACGTTAGGTCAGCTAAGACGAAGAGACAAAAGAGATATTCAATCTTCTGGCGACAAATCGCACGAAACGGGCGAGCGTGGGCATAAAAACTACGCAACGATAATCTCCCCTTGGTCGTGAAGAAGGGTTGGTCAGTTGTAGTTGTTACTGTTGTATTATAGCAACTATTTGGCAAAATCTGGCAACGCTATTATGAAGCTTCTAGTCAGGTCTTCGCGATAATTCTATTTATAGCTTCTTAAGTTTCCTCAATATTACTGTATTATGTAGGATTTCAACATTACCATCTACCTGCTTGTATTACTGAGTATGTTTTCTTATAGAACAAAATACAAAATAGATGTATTATGAAAATTTTATACGTTGTATTGTTATATTTTATAATCGTTCGATGATACCTATTATCCACCCACTTCTCAAGTCCTACTTGCATTGAAGGGTACAGAGAGTAAAAGTGCCGAATGCAGTTTTGCAGGCTAGCTAGTGTATTGCAAAAGTTAGGCATCATTTTTCTTAGTGAGCCAGAAATACATATAAATCTAACTTTTCCAGTGATAGCATGAATGACTTTTTTGAACAAGAAATATTTATGGTTTAAAATCGGAGTTTCATCGATCGTTATCAACTTAAATTATTCAATTCTTCGAAGAATTAATTATACTCTTATTCTTAATGATTTAAAAAATACTTTCAGATTTGCAACTCTTGATTTGATCGCCTCAGCAGTTTCTTCGAAGCCGCTGGATTACTCTTATTTCGAGCCTGCGGCAATGATCACTTTGGCCGGTCCTAACCATTGGAAAGTTAATTACCTTCGGCAGTTGCGAACAAATCAACTAAAGTCGAAAGGAGGTGCCGATGATGCAGACATAGTGCCGAAAAAATCGAAGCAGCAAGCTCGCAGACCTCTGACGCGCATCGACTTCGACGAACAGTTGGATTTTGGCGAGCTACTTCAAGTAGCGAAACGATCGACCATAACTCTGTCCAACACAACGCTTGAGAGATACATGCAACGTGACTATACATTGGACTCTGACATCGACTTTGATCCTAATCGATTCAAATATCTGTTCATAAAAAATATACCGGTAAGAGGATTAAATTCTGATTCATTTCTGCGTCGTAGCTTCACACTGTGTAGAAATCATGATAGTTTTGCACTTTTCGCTGTTTCATGTAAATTGAATGACGAGTATATTCTACCACTGGTTTTGGTTTTCTTATGACCCAATCATATGCCTCAAAGGTTCTCATTCCAATCTGTGAAGCGTTGAATGCATTCATTATTATTTTATGCACTGCATGCTTATGAGAATTTTCGATTCGCTTTTTAGATTCCCATGAGGCTAATTATAAGATGAGTTTCTAGTAGTAAATAGGCACTACTGTCTACGTCTAATTTTATTATTTGTCAACAGAATACAGCGTTTTGCTTTAACGCATATTTTGCTGCATAGTAATGATAGAACTGGATATTTTCGGCTTGTCATTTTCAACACACGTCGATTCTATTTCAACTCTCCATCTTTTCTGTACGAATGCCTTCGGTCCTGACACACACATATCTCGGCTTCAGGCATTGAAGCCATCATTAGGGATATTTCACAAACGATGATGCCGTAGACAGTTGAATAATAAAGCAAAAAATTACAAAATGGTCACTGGTGTAGTTTTACTAGGGCGCAAATGTACAGCAGAACTAAATTTAAGGAACAATAAGGGTGTCCAAGTGCAAACCTGTTTAATAGCTTCTTTCATCCATCCTGATGTTAAGAGCGGTTTAATGCATTCCAATCATAATTCGGTTTTAGTGTCCTGTGCCAACAGTTTTCCTTTTCTGATCATAATAAATCCCTTTCAATAGAATAAGCGTATTGATAGTCAATTAATGATTAAAACATAATGGGTAAATTTATCGCACTTTGTATTTTTTGCCGCTCTAACTCGGTACATACTGTGCTGTTGTTTTGTCGTCGTCATCAACGGCTAGCAAATGATAAACAGCATGGTAAGCCAGATTTATTGTATGGCCTAGGCATCGTTCACGTTGTATGAGTTTATGAAGTGTTGCTTTGTTGGGAATGTCTCATGTTGCTGATGCCTGTATTGTAGCATAAGCGAAAAAGATTTAGCCATGTATATCGCAGTATGTAGGTATTTATTGAGTTGGAAGTGTTCGTATATGCTACTTATTGCTTACGTGGTATCTAAATTGTTGATATTAACATTATAATATTAGCTGTTGTGCATCACACTGCTAATACTTTAAATTACACGAATGTCGTCTTTATCTTAAATTAACTCGTACAATGCCTGAAGGAATACCAGCTCCCTCTGTGTATCACATTTGTCGATTATGAGAAAGCATTGGACACTATCGAGTACAAAACTTTTTGGACTGTATTGTCAAAATCTTGACTGCTTTACAAACATCACGCTGTTCGATATTCATCTCTCCTGATTACGTAGAAAAGTGCATGAAGCAAGGGGACATAAACTACGCCATTCTCTTTACTGACTGTTTGGAAATGGTGTTCTGGAGGATGTAATAGCAGGGTGAAATTGATATCAATTCTGAACAGCTCAGCAACGTAAGATTCTTTAAAGACATGGTGTCGTTTTCGAAAAATTCCAGTCAGCGATAGGCATGCTGCAGGAGCTCGAGAGAGAAACAGTGCAAAAGTCGGATTATGAGTCAGTCGATTAAATCGAAGATGCTGTGATCAGGTGCCTTGTCCAAGACGTAGTTAATATGTAACGGCGAAAAGATTGGAGTCGAAAGGTACATTTACCTGGACCAAGAGAACGGCATGCGGCATGATCCTGCTGAGGTGATTCAGCCAAGAAAGAAGACCGTTTGGCGCGAATTTCATTCCATCAAGGAGTCGTTCTTTTTTTCGGGGAATTAAACCCTCTTCCATCTCTTCAGTTCTACCGTCTTACTGGAAATGTTATATGGCTGTGAGACGTAGTCATTCAATACGGCTGAAGAGCTCCTATTTTCCTTTATCGATAAAGCCATTATAAGAAGAAGTTTGGGAATTTTACGTCGTGGCCACATCAAAACGCGTGATCAGACGACGGACGGGAGCGAAGTTCGAAAGTAGAAGGAAGAAGTTCCAGTGGGCCGGCCTCGTTGTTCGGTTCATAGACAGGAGATGATCGTTGCCTCGTATGCTCGCGGGCTGACTGTGCTGCTTGATGATCTACCTCGACGATTTGAAAGTCATATCAGGAGCCAAGGAGGTTGAACAACGAGAAATGATGTACGTGTTCCGGCCGGCCGTAGCGATTCGTCGCCAGTTATTAGTTGGTCCAAGAGATCAAAGTGAAATCGCATCACGATGTATCAGCGCCGCAAACAGTGATGTATGATGTTTCATTGCAGCCATGCATTATTCGATTATTTGACGAGATGTTGACTAGTTGTCAGCAAAATCATGGTACTCTTTCACGCGAATCTTAATTTTCGAACAGGGGTTCACAAATAGTCCATTTTCCCTTTTAATCAGCCAATACTTCATCAGTTCAAAATAGTTGAGACACATGTCCTCGAAGGATTATGCGGATGATATTTAGTTCGATTTTTTCAGTTGTTTTCGTCTCTCACTCACCTGCCGCATAATGTGGCTTTGTACTTTTTACATGCTTTTTTTATACGTGCTTATGAACTCGCATTGCCCAGTGTATGTAACTTAAGCCATTAAACTATGTGGTTTAACACTAGTGGAATTTTGATCACTAGAATGGCTGTAGCCCAAATGTAGTGTAAGACTCGTTCAGAAGAAATCTTTTATTCACCGGAAATACATTTCTTAAGATACACTTGCATTCGAAAACATTGGAATCTAAAACTTCACAAAAACCGTATCCTGTATATATTCAAACGTAGATACGTTATTATTGTTGCCGATTTGTTACTCCTTTTGTTTTTCTGTTTTTTTTTCATTTTATTTAATTTTGTCACTTGATTTTGTTTAGATGCGCAAAACCGCAGTAGTTTCAGAGAACTGTGTGAACGGTGACCAGGTGACGGTTTATAATTACAAGAACGCGGTTGACAACGATAACTTTTGTCCTGATTTACTGCCTGACGGGGAAAATGAAAATGATGACGCCGCAGAGCCTTTCGACTTGCCTTCTTCATCTTCATCTTCACCAACTATTGGCCACCCAGAAGTGAAGGGCGTTGACGAAGCAAAAACCGACTCCGAGTTTGATCAGCAATTGCTACCTCAGCCTTTCAAGGTTTGTAGATGCAGATGATTTTATCACTATAGTACGACCTTGTTAATTCGAACCTTTTTATTTCAAAATTTATATATTATTTAAATTGCTCATTTTAGATGTAATTCCAAGTAAAGTAATTTCATTCAAGATAATACGATATTCGAAAATCAATTTTCCCTTGATTCAATACAATTAATTCATCTGGGTGTTTGATTAATTCGAAACAATTTTATGAAAATCCTAATGTTCGTAAAATTATGTTGCGTTATCGCGTCTAGTCTATGTGCAACTTTTAGAAGCGATTTCACCACAGTTTAATAGGACGATCCTTGGCGTCGGTCTCACGTGCTTTTTGGATGCCTGCTCAATATTTGAGTTAAAAGAGTAATTCTCTTCCTACGAATATTTGCCTCTGCCTTGACTCAGTCAACCATGGAGACAGTTGTTATAGCGATGGTTCCACTTCGTACGGCATAATGACGTTAGATGGTAGAGCTACATATGGGATGATTATTTTCTTCTGTCCACAGGTGACATTAGCTGATGTGGGGATTTAGAAGCGGTGGTTGAGTCTCTTAATCAAACTGGTTGAACGTTGAACGCAACCAGGAAAAACAAGGTAAAGGCACATCTGCTTTCAGGAAGAAATATTTCTTTCTGCAATGCAGTAAGCGGTGCCTCAGAACAAACGAGTTGAAAAGCTTCAGTGCAGTGGGCATGACAAACTAAACGATTGATGAAGGTGATGACACAAACAACAATAACTTCTTCGGTATATTGTTCATCACGTACAACAGATGCTTTTTGTAGTTTTACTTTGAGGCATAGCGGTAGAATCGATAGAAGCAGAGCTTGTTTCGATCTTACGTAATGCACTTTGACCTAGACCTGAAGTCAGTTTTCCTTCGCACACATGATTTAGGATACGTCATGCGTAGAAATGCCTAAAAATTGAAGCAACAAAATTGACAACTTTTGTTAGTTGTTATTGTTTTTCTTTTAACGACGTTTTGTATTGTGTATTAATTAATTAGCTGGCAGGGTTTATAGCGATTAAGATGAGTGTCGTTTTACTCTTTGAATTAAAATAAATTTTTGTTTAACTAAAAATACTCTTGAGACAGCAATTTTACGATTTACTTTGTTTTTGTTTTCTTTAGGTAAACAAAATCGAGATCGCCTTCGAAAAATGTGCTAAAAGGATTGACGTTCTGCAGTTAAAAGAATCAATGTGGAAGATCATAAACGACGGCAGTATCCCTCATGGAGTGATTTTATTTTCATTCAACTGGCTATGGAAGCAATCAATGTAATTAACTCTTTAGGAGCTTTACTTTTCGACCTTATGTTCTAAACTGTGTCAGAGACTGTCGGTTTCAACGCTGAGGAACCTGTCGACGGCTACTGTTTTTGTGTGTTTTTTACACATATGCAACGAAAAGGTTTGCTTTGGCTTTGTCGGTTTTCATTTGTTTAATTAATTTTTAATCTTTTAGAATCTTACCTTGGAAGGCAACAAACAAATGTCTGATTTCAAAATAAATTTATCTCAGCGGTGAAACGCGCTTTAAAATCATTTCAGTTGTGTTCAATATGTTTAATTGTGTTATTTTTTTACATCTACTTTTTTACCTTGTTCGTTTTTGCTACTGTTTCACTCTAGTATATAGTGTAAATTAACGAAGCAGTCCTAAAATGAGATTATTGAATTTTGTGGACTGTTTGTTTCAAAAAAACTTTGTTTCAGGGTCCCAGCCTTATTCAAAGCACTCTAAAAAGACTACCGCGCGTAGCATCACCCTATATATTTCTCTAAAGTTACTGTGAATAAGAAGTGCTAGTGATTGTTCCTTAATGCACAGTTTCACGTTGGATATATAATAGTCTTACTCTGTAGAGGGTTGATTCGAAAACAAATACGAGATGTTCATTAACACCATGGTAATTGTCGCTGATTGTTCAAATGAAGCAAAGCCCTGTAAATACAGTGTCGACAAATATTTCTTCCGTGGATATCCCTGTTCTAAATTATTCATGTTTTCTGCTATTTTCTGTCAGCATCTTTCTAGCGTTGCTGAAGAACTCATCATCTGCAGATAATAAAAGCATTAGGAGTAGAGTTCATCATCCGTTCTTAATGCTGAATGGTTACCAGTCATTCCGCCCGTGATCTTAGGGTGCTAATTTTAATCGGAATTGTCTTTCAAGGCCTGAAGAGGTATGTCAGTATTGCCCACTTGAACAATCTTGGTTGACTATTTAAGGATTCATTGCTGGCCATCGGGCCTACGACAACAAATGCTGAAATCGTGGTGTACTATCATGCGATCGTGCCATTCATTTTTATGTGTCCTCTGTTATGCGATCGCTTTTTCTTGTCCAACTCATAATGGTGATGATTAGGTTCAGTTGAGGATAGCGTTTCTGAGGAAGGACAACGAAATGTTAGGCAAATATTAGTAAAACTGTTTTATGAGAACGATTCGTTCATAAAACTAGAGCCGATTTCGTTACAACTAACAGCTACAGTTAGGCGATCTGTTCTTAATGGCTTTCAATCACGGCATTCTACATTTTATCCTTTGCTCTTTGCCACAATACCTAGCTTATGGATTCACCAACAAAGCAGGGTTTTAAAACTTGCTGTATTTCGAGTCAAGGTTGCGAGTCGTGTGGTTAAGTATTGATGAAATTATTCGAATTGCTAAGAACGTCAGTAGTAGAAAAGTCTGTTTTGTTAGCGCTTTCTTTGGAAATGATTAAGCCATTCGCCATTTTTTTCGGGACATACAAAAGATTCTAATATTCATTGCTAATATGCCTTTTGTATGCATGAACATGTCTGAAAGTTCCGTTTAGAGGAATGTTCCAGAGGGCTCGTGTTGCTTCGAACTTTTACGAAATGGAGACATTGATTCTTGATTCGACATGTTTTGTTCAGACTTTCTGTTCACATCGATGCCGTATTGTAGGTTACATCTGTACGCATCATAATTATGTCGGTATCTCAAACTGTTTAGAAACGATGCCTACTACCTGATATCGTAATAAACGACCTGATTATACGTTATACGTATAAGTCGTGTCTCCTATAAGAGTAATTTTTGAATAATAGACAGTCGCATTAGTCAGAAGGAAGGTCAGCTACCGACAACAAGGTGTATCCTGCAGTTTTCTGGCAAAGGTCAATTTTTGGTTGCCGGAAGCCCTATCCGCAGTCGTCTTCTGATGATCACATTTTGGCACTATCATCAGAGAAAGAAGTGGGTTGAACACTGCATAGGTAAAATAATTAACCATCCAGTTGTACGAAGATGTTAACTGGATGCTAATTCTGCGCCGACTGAGAGAGCGTCGTAGAGCAAGTGTTTTAAAAACGTATAATCCTAAATTTATAAAATAGCATACAACTACTTTTCTGGCTCTAAATGATCATCTACCGCGAAGAATCACACCGCCACCTACAATATATCAATTATCCTATTATAAAGGAGGCCAATGAGGTTCAGACTAAGACAACGGTACTGGCCTGTCCATAAAGTGATCGATGTAATTTTCAATTTTTTTGTGTGAATGTTTTTTATTAGTGATGTTCATACTTCTAAAATGGTCAAAGATGTATTCTTTCCTGCAGTAAGGTCTCGCTCTAAGTGCCGCGAAGTTAATCATTGTACCTTCAGACACCATTTCAACCCAGGATTGGCATAAACGAAAATTTTCGCGCTCTAACGCTCAACAATGTTAATTTCCACAACAAGTATACACATCGTAATACGTGTTGTCTTCAGTAACCATACCAACATTTATATACCACGTCAAGTAGTAAACATATTACATATAAACGGAACCTTTCTTCTCAATGACCAACAGATTCTAGCGTGAGACCAAAGAAATCATGGAGTTCATGATATCATGGAGATGAACTCAACAGTACTTTTTCTTATTGACCTCCGGGAGCGCATCGACCATTAATTTCGTGAAAAATGCAAGCTTTTCAACTAGGACAAGTTTGTAAACGGCACTGTTCACGCCATCAGTATACATCCGTTTTCGCCAATCTTCTAACAGCTTATATCGACACGGATTAACCTCGTTTCCGAGATCCGCTTCATGCTTAATCATTGTGTACCTGCAGACCGGATCTCTATATCTGGACACGGTGAATCCTGCTCTTCCAATCCTAAACATTAAATCAATACGGGAGTGATCAATCATCAAAGAGCAACTGATGTCAGATGCACATACTGTCGGAATTATCACTCATTAATATAATGTGTTAGGCACGCTTTCAAACAGAAGATTCTTTACGAAAGATTTTTTCTTTCAACGAGACTCTCTCTGACGCTACTGTCTCTGCCATTAGAAAGGGTAGGCGAAAGCGGGAATTGACCATGTCACAAATCGCGTACAATGATATGATTAAAAACAACCATGGCAATGGGGGTATAATGTTTACGCTAATGTCTCTCTTAGTCATCGCAAAGTTTATGAGCGTTTGAAAGCGTAGTAAACAAAAATTGTTAAAGAAAATCAACCGATTTATGTACGTAAAGAAAGTTTGCTCATCAGCAAGTCAGCCTCGTTAGTATTTCAAACAGAAAGATTTATGTTCATGTATTAATCATTCAAGAATTCAAGGTAATATATGTTTCTCCTTGCCGCTGACATTCTAAAGCAAAGTAGGACAGGTGAATCAGACATAAGAAAGGTCCAAGCAGTTCTTAGACCATAAAACTGAAAACTTAAAACAAATTAGTGTGTTTTGTGATAGTTTGCATGTGCAGTGACCTATAAACCGATGAAAACTTGTATCAAAAATAGACTTGTCGACTGAACAAACGCTGAGGGTCAGGTGCTATAACATAGAAATACCATAGCGACATTTAATGGATAACGCTGCAAAAATGATAGAAATTAACCCCTTTCACGCAATTTCAATGTGGACATTCTCGCAGTTTAAAGCTGTTTTATGGACAGAACACAAGAACATTTGAATAATACAATACCTATAATTAATATCGTCATCCTCGCCGCCCCACCCCCAGTAGGCGTTGCTGTATCCATTCACTTTCCGGTACTGGTAGCCAGTCAATCCAATGACTCCTCCAACGTAGCCTTCGTATGGCAACCTGAAAAACTGAATGAACGACTTTCAATTTCATAGAGTCACCTCCTGCAAATTCATAATCTGGGAAATCACTAAATCGATTCGTGATCAATCGATATGCATCGATAGAATGAATGGCATAAAAACGAATAATAGCCTCATCTCTTGCCCAAGAAACAGACTGCAAAGCTCTGTTCTGACTTCAGCAGACCAACCTTGCTATTGCGGAATCTTATGTTTCGCCAGTTTGTTGTTGGTCACCAGTGAACCCTATGTATGCGGGTTGAAGGACTGGGTTACACCATTAGGACAGGCCCCTTTGTGATCGTTTGCATGATTGAAGGCAAACACGGAGATACTGAGGTTCCTTTGGCATCACATACAGGTGATCGATCGGCGAAGACGTCTCAGGTTGCGAAGCTTTGTGTAATTTGAATGGCACGGAAAAGCGTGGGCGACAGGAGAGAGGAGACGGCCTGTGGTGGTACACTGACTGACCCTTGGATTAGATAAAGATACGTGACAGAGCCAGTCAGACATTCTACGATTTTGTGGAGTAGTACAGGAATACTTCGCGTGTACGTCGTGTGTGTAGTTTCTAGTAAGTGAAGTGGTTTCTAGACAGAGATGCGCTGTCATCATAGAATAGCCACAAATCTGTAACGTGCTGAAGTTAAGATCGAGGACCGAAGCTAACCCTTTGGCTCTAATCTAACCCCTAATCTTAAAGCATCGTATGCCTATTAAGTGATGGTCACGAGTTTGCAACCGACAAACAGGCGTATGGAAAGCCTTGTAGTAAGTGAATCGTTTAATTTTGCTACACCACATTAGGTCAATAACAGGACCATCAACCTAAAATCCCTTATTTGTGAAAACAGTGTGTACAACAAATCACCATGATCATTAGTTTTTTTCGTTCCACTGCAGCATTAAGGCTTCTGCAATGTTTTGCCAAAGTCTTCTGCTCTCTGCCATTTTGATTTATTTTCATCCTGCGAATTTCTTCAGTTCGTCCTTCTATTGAAATGGAGTCTTTCCAAGAGTCGTATCTACAGCAATTGTCACGAATCAAATGAAACACCTTTGCTAACCCAGTGAGACATTCGCTTATGTACATTGGGAAGTTAGAAGGGCAGCGATACTAAACTGAAATCGAGGCCATCAATATTTATCTTTCAAATTCAGTGTTGAACCATTGCTAACGACTGATTGCCTTGAACTATGTTTTAGTGACGATGACAACGGCTATAGGCAACGCGCTAGGGTACAGATCCACTGGGAACTGGAGAATGAAGCTCTCGGTCATTGT